CTCTCTCTCTCTCTCTCTCTCTCTCTCTCTCTCTCTCTCTCTCTCTGCAAAAGTTAGATTAGCCATACAAGGAAAAGGCTGGATTCTCTTCAGGATTTCTTAATAAATATCTCAGCATGAGAATTCTACATTTTCATTAATACCATACTTCTCCCATTGATTGATGCTTGAAAAAAATATAGCTGGTTTATAAATGGTTGATCAACGCTAAATATCGCTAGAATTAGCACAGCCGCAGGGAGGAAATTGAAACCTATTTGAATCGAACTTCAATACAGATAAAACGTGGAAGAATTAATGTGAATTAAAGAATTCCGATAAAAACATGTTCCATGACGGTTGATTAACCTTTTTAATATAAACTTACGTTTGTGTACAAATATAGGTATTGTCATGCGAATTTGCACGGGTGAATAAATCGCGTATTTAGACACTGTATCGATTATATTTATGAAAATTTAATAAGCTAAATAAGCAACAACATCGTTTTGCAGTAATTAATAGTTTTTTTTCTTTGAAGATAGCATCACAAATAAGGTCTCAAGAGGAAGACTGGCTAATTTAATTTAAAATACACTTACATGTTTTTTTTTCTAAAGTTTTTGTCAAGTTTTTGTAAATAAGAGCTTAAAGTTTTACATGCAACCATGCAACAAACGTTATCCAATACCGGACTACAGCTACTAAAATTTCTATTATATTTCTATGTACTTTTTTTATACAGTAAAACTTGTCTAATCCGGATTATGTATAATCCAAAATCTTGTTTTATTCGATTTTAAATTTAAATCTTTTTGTAAATTCATTTGTTTTAAATGTTGGCTTTAATCTGAAATGTTGTCTCCTTGGAACCAATTGTCTGTGGGTTAGACAAGTTTTACTGTAATTATTTACGTGTTTCCGTTTATTTATAAATTTACATCCGTATATATGAAGAATCCTTTGCCTGTGACATTCCATTCTATTCATTTCGCGATTCTAACGACACAAATTCAGCTAAACTTTAAAATTACCAGTCTATTTGAAGGTTTTGAACATATTTTATGCGTTATAATTAACATTACTCAAAAAGGATTAAACAAATTTTCAAATAACTAAGAATCTCTTGTATATAAAACAGGAATAGAAAATACTACATGTGATTCAAAGAAACTTAGGTGAGGGGGCTCTTTTATTATCAAGAAACTATAGAATGTACAGCGTATAGTATTGTATTGTTATGAAATAAAACACAGTTTAAGATTAATTACAATAAATATGCATGTATTTTTAAAATGTACTAGATCATTGTATTCAACTAGTACTTAATTCCAAAACATAAAAACTTCAATGTACAAATTAATTTCATACAAAGTTACAAACGTTTTTTCCCCAAATATTTTGTAAAAAGATGGGGTTCTTTTTTTTTTTTTTTTACAAAATTATAAAGATCATTAAATCTTTTTTTAATTAGTAATTTAAGAGATAATTTAAAAAACACTTGCCTTAAATTTGTTTTTGCTGAAAAGAGAGTTATCCACCGTTCTTGTAGGTCATCATTGAATGGAATTGCAGTACCAATATTACACATGAAAAAATTTAGATGGTATTGTATGTTGTATGTTTTTAACAGAGTTTTCTGTTAATCGTGGATCCAAAATAAATCGAACACGTCAGTCAAATTGACAGCCATTGACCAGAGACGTAGCACGTGTTCTTTCCAATCAACGCATGTTGATTAGCCCTTCCATGAAAATCTGACGATCATAAACAAGTCATTGTTAATTGTCATTAGTTCACTACAATGTTTAATTCCACATTAATAGAATGCGCACAGAGCGAGACGGGCAATCCTTAGTAGGCTACAATATGCGAGTTAGCCTGCATAGGGCTTAAGCTTCTATCGTGTTTATTAAAAAACCGCGAGTAGAACAATAGCCTAAAAGATAATCTATTTGAGAAAAAAAAAAATCTTCATTCAATCATTAAATGTTTAATGTACAAGCTAATGCATTCACAGAGATTTAAAATCTTTAGTAGAAAGAAATAAATGTCAACAGCTACATGTAGATTTATTTTTTTTTCCTTCTAAAATCTGATCGCACTTATGGGTTTGATAAAATAAATGTCCACGGGCCACTTTGCTAAACTGAGTTACATTAATTAGACATACAGTAAACAGTGGGCCATCAACGCTGAGTGAGATTTTCAAGCCTTGAAGTCCGTTCTATTCATCACAAACCACACCATGATGGAATTACCTAGGGCTCGCATGATTAAAAAAAAAATATGCCCTCAGTGAGATTCGAACTCACGACCCCTGGTTTACGAGACCAATGCTCTAACCACTGAGCCATGAGGGCCTTTCAGACAAAGAGATACCTCTTATATATTCGTCATAATGCGTATTTCATCCATATACATATTATGACGTCACTTATGACGAAGACAACTGGTAAGATGACGGGATCTTATTTTATTGCAGAGAGCTAGGCAAACTTTTTTTTTTTTAACATGAAATCATTTTTATAAACAAAAATCATGGATGGTTATTTAAGTCGTTTTATACTCACAATTATACATTCGACTGTTACAAAAAGCCTTGGCAGAAGGTCCACAAGTTTAAAAATTGATGCAAAGCTTCAAATGAAGTTATCACAAAAAGAAGAAAAGAATAAATTCCACAAAAAGTCCAAAGAAATATCCAAGTAGAAAAAAAGTATACGATTCATTTTTAGAGCAAACTTAATTCATTTATCAATAGTTATTAGTCCAAATACATGTAATCATAAATTAATGGAACTAAAAATTGGATTTAGATAATGAATATTCATCAATCTATTTGATTCATACTCTATTAAAGTTTAAACCATATAATAGATATCTCTGCTCTAACAAAACCTGAAATTAGTTTTGTGCAAAGAAACAAACTTAACGATCGAGCTAATACCCCAGACCTTTGTCACGTGATTATCTGTATGATCATTTATAACTACTCTTCAAAAAATAGAAAGAAAGAAAAAAACAAACACATACTGATAGTAGGAACAATACCATGAAAAATGGAAGATTGTGTTGTTATACATTTTTTTAGATGGATATGATGCATTTAAGTAAAATGCATTATTTTTTAATGCAATGGTTAACATTTCAGCTATTCTACAAAGTATAAATCTCACAGAAAAAATGCCTAATTTTGCAAACTGCCCCCAAAATTTTTTATTTCCATTTTCATTTCTTGGTTTCTGATGCAATTCCTTCAGGCATAAAGGGGCTATCAAAGGCAGGGTTTCTCGATATTTTTAATGTGGTTTTAACTGAAAATTGACGCTATCTAGTATGCTGCATCAGAATGTTGCATAACACAAAAAGGAAAATGGGCGACTGGTAGCAGGTGTAGCACAATCTACCATTACAAGAGCTTTTAATGTTTCGTTCAGCACCATATCTATAACTTATAAAACATATACCATTAACATGGAACACCCAAAAAATACAGCAGACCACGTGTGACATCAGCAGCACAGGCTCACTTCAGAGAATTACGTAAATTTTATGAATGTTTCACCATGACGTCATCTACAGCATAGGCTTCCCCTGAACTGCACAGTACATCTAACAAGACCGTTTGCAGTTGACTACAGAATGTCAAAATTTTCCCAAGAGGGTTATTCATGCCATTTTTCTGACACCACAACACCAAATATAGACTTCAAAGACCTCAGATCAACAGATATGGCCACAACAACACCGCTGAACATTTTGGTTACTAGTCCAGAGTGTTTATCGGAAAGCTTGTGTAAGGTTAAGAGTGCTAAGGCTTTGTAATGAACGTTAGACAGAAAACTGCTTCCAGGACTTTGAAAGATGTGGTGGTAGAGTAATGATATGGAAAACGGTATTACTGAAGTAGATAAAAGTGAGACTGATTTGGTTCATATTCAAAGGATTTTGAAGGAAAAAGGTACTCTAACGATGTTCTACCTTCACATGCAATTTCAATTTTGCAGCATCCTGGAGCCGTATTTCAATCTGACAATACATATGTACACAGCCACATACGGCTCGTTTAAGAATCTTATTCTTGCAAAGCAACAGCAACCTGTTTCTACCATAGTCATCTAAATTACCAGATTTAAACCCATTTGAGCGGCATTGGGCAAAATGGATTATCATGAGTTACCAAAGACAGTCGTATCCCCAGACACTGCAACAGCTGACCAGAGCTCTACATTGGGAGTTGTAGTATATTCCTATATAGCTTTTATTAGACATATTGCTTCCTCTAGATGCCGTTTTTGGCTATCATTTGTGTCTGTGGGGGCATACAAGATATTGATCTTTAATGACCTTGAACTGTCTATTATGATTATAAAATTTTTGAGTAAATTGTAATTATGACATTCAGATAGTATACCCCTATTGATAATCGCATTTCAATCTGTATTATGAATGCATCATCTTACTAAATAATCTTTATATTCAATGCATCACCAGTTTTATTGCCCTATTGGTTTTTCTTGCAATTCAAAAGAGTTAACTTTATGAAATGTGTTATTTTTGGAAGAAAATAGACATAAGCATTAGATAAATCAAAGAACTGCCAATTGTATATTCTGTCAAAATTTTAAAAATTAAAATTGAAGCATAATATCCATAAATCTATGAAAATTTAACTTCGAACACTGTCATAAAAGTTTTTTTTATTCTAATGTACATGGATCTCTTTTGTAACACTGAATTTCTTTTGCTTGCTACAATATTTTCAGAGTTGTATATAAAGAAGTTAATTTCGACTCCGATGTGGTTTTCAAAAACGCAAAAACCATTGCACAAAAATCAATGTAATTTAAAGGTTTATTAAGAAAGTGAAGAAACTGAACAAATGAAAGAATTTTCTGTGAATAAACTATTACATAAAAAGATAAAGAAAATGTATATAAAAATATTAAATCAAAACAAATGTACAAATCATGTTATTTTCAAAGATAAATATTTTTTACTTTAAAAAAAAAAGACGATCTGTGATTAACCAATAAAAAAATCGAATTAAATATATAATTGTAAAATATGATTATAAAGAAAATCCTTTAAGTAAATGATGAAACATGTAATTTATATCTAACATTTGAAAACTATAAAGTGTTCTTTCCTACATGCATATTATTTACATTTCCAAATATATACAAGGTCCACATGCAATCTCCAGATAAGTCGTTTCCTTTTTATTTATAATACAAATACATGCATTCATGGATGCATATTTATATGTGCTGTCGCATGATGCGACCGGATTATACATGTACTATCGCTCCCCGCTGATGTTCCGATACAAGTACAGTAACTCTTTAATTTCCATGTTCATGTAAGAGGACAGTTAAATGACACAAAATTGTTCAAAGTATAGAAACGAATTCTGCACATGTTCTACACCAAGCCTAATCCTGATAAAGCTAACATAAGATTTTCTTGTGAAATAGTCTTCCCTCTGCATAGGGCTCTCATTTCCACGACGGATTGGTTAAGCCTACAATAAAGAATCAAAGAACATCTATAGCCTTCTTATTTTCAACATTTCCAATGGTATGGTTCCAAAAATATTGGATTTTTATTTTTTAAAAAGGGGAAAAAAAGACAACTTACTTGTAACTCTGCATAAAACTAGAAGCAGTACATCTTAAAATATTTATTTGAAAGGTTGGACATGAATGTTTTATTATATATATTTAAAGGAGGAAAGCATCTCACGTTAAATGTTGTTCAATCCCCATGATTGATATATCAACTTCCGCTTCCTGTGGACAGAGGCCATGGTTCACAAGTTCCTGCTTCAAATCAGCCACAAACTCCTTATAATTACTTTCAACCAATAATTTCCTTATTTTGCCCTTGTATGCACCACCTCTATTGCCTAGAAGTATTGTAAACCGCACATCATAAAATTGTTAAAAGGTAATTAGAAAAGACATGTTTTACTAATCAATATTACGTGTAAATACGTATATGCAGTAAATCATGTAATTTTTAAAAAATACATAAATAATGAAAAACGTGACCTACCAATCAATGATCTGGGAAGACCGTTGGGGGGTTCGCAATGGTATGATCCTGGAACATTGACGCATGTAAAAATTTGCGGACAATTGTTCTGACCTTGACACTCATCCACATCTTCTGTGCAGTTATTCCCCGTGTATCCTTGTGCACATAAGCAATAGAATGATCCACTGTATCTATAACATTTACCTCCGTTAAAACATTTTTGAGGATAACAAGGATCAGCCTCTGTGCAATTATATCCCATCCAGCCATCCGTACAATTGCACGTGAACGTTTGATTGTTATTTGCACATCCTCCATTATTTGCGCACGGTTTCTGAAGACAGAAATCTTCCAGATCGCAATCTGTGCCATACCAACCAGAATGACATTTACATTCGTAAGTATTGTTAGAAATTGAGCAGTTGCCGTGAATGCATGGATCGGGAGCACAATAATCTGTCTGATTACAATCTGGACCAGTAAATCCAAACGAACACGAACAAGTGTAATTCTGGGATCCTGCATTGTCCAGCGAACACGATCCGTTGTTCAGACATGGGCTTGATGTACAGTAATCGAACTTATCACAAAGTTTGCCGCTAAAGGTTGATGGACAAGTACAATTAAAACCATTGGGTCCGTTGACGCAGGTCCCGTTATTTTGACAAGTTACATTGCGACAGTAATCCTTTTGTTTACAGTCACTTCCAATGAAACCGGAAGAGCAGTTACAGCTGTAAGTTCCGTTGACTGCTCTACATGTTCCATTGTTTCCACAAGGTGACGACTTACACGGATCATGACAACGGAAACCGTCATCTTCATTGGTACAACGGAACCCATTTCTACACGGATTAGGCGGTGCACAGTTGTCTTTTTTATCACATTTTTCTCCTGCAAATCCTGGCGAACAACTGCATGATATACTAGACGTATTTGTATTTATCGAGCAGTTTCCATGCTTACATGGCGAAGGTTTGCATGATAAGCATTCAAAACCTCCTAGTTTGTTTATGCATGTTTCTCCTGTTTTGCAGCCACTGGTGCCATTGGCGCATTCATCAATGTCATCCTCGCATGCAAGACCTGTCCACGTTGGTAAACATTTACACGTAAACTCATTGCCATGTTGTTTACAAGTTCCATTGTTTCTACAAGGATGGTATTTGCAGAAGTTTTCGTACTCACACATTTTTCCAACGTTGTATCTACTATCACAGTCACACCAGAAATCATTTATCCGGTCCTGGCATGTGCCGTTATGTTGACAAGGATTGGACGCACATTCATCAATGTTTGTTTCACAATGATCTCCAGAAAACCCAGCGGTGCAGTTACAGTGGTAACTACCTATTGAATTCTCGCAAATCCCATTATTGGAACAATTTTCATTTTTACATTCGTTGATATCAAGTGTGCAGTTGACACCTTCCCACCCTGGTAAACAGGAACATGAATAAGCTCCAATTAAATCCGAACAGTTTCCATGCTGACAAGGGTTGCTACTGCATTCATTCGTTTCATTCTCGCAAAACCGACCCTCAAATCCGAGAGAACAATTGCAAACAAAGTCATCTAGAAGATCCACACAGGTGGCGTTGTTTTGGCACGTGACATTTTGACAATCATTGATGTCTATACTGCAGTTTTCACCGGTATAACCTTTGGCGCAATGACATTCGAATGTACCATTCTTATTGATGCATGTTGAGTTGTATTGGCAAGGATCATTCATACATTCATCAATGTCTTGGTCGCACGCAGACGATGTCCATCCAGGTTCACAAGTACAAACGTAACTGCCTGGAGTATTCAAACAGTTACCGTGCACACAGGGACTGGATAAACATTCATTTGTATCGTTGTTACAGTCAAACCCGCTCCACCCTTCTGTACACTGGCATGTCAATTCAGTTTTATTGTTGAAGCAAGTGGCATTATTTTTACAAGGGCTGTATTTACAATAGTCCTGATATTGGCATTTGTCGCCTATGTGACCAGGGGAACAGTCACACTTAAAACCACCGATTACATTATTACAGGTTCCGCCATGCATACAAGGATTGCTAGTGCATTCGTCAAAATCGGTCTCGCAGTTTTTACCGAAAAATCCACTTGCACATGAGCAGTTGTAATATCCAACTTCATTGATACATGTCGCATTATTCTGACAAGTGTTCATTTTACATTCGTCAATATCGACGTCACATAGTGTTCCATTCCATCCTGGAGGACAATGACAAGAAAAACTGTTTATGCCATTCAAACAAGTGGCATTATTTTTACAAGGTGAACTGGCACATTCGTTTATTTCTATCGCACACAAAGGTCCGGAAAATCCTGGTTGACAAAGGCAAGTAAAACTATTAAAACCGTCCTTACAGGTTCCGTTATTTCGGCACACAACACGTGCACAATCGTCAACGTCGGTTTCACAGTTATTTCCGGTTATTCCCACAGGGCATGTGCAGTTATAGTAACCATCCAGATCATGACACGTTCCATTATTTTTGCAAGGGTTAGAGTTACATTCATTTAATTCTTTGTCGCACAAATTACCTGTCCATCCATTCTCGCAAATGCAACTGAAGTTACCGGGCGTGTTCGAACAGTTTCCTCGAATGCATTGATTTTGTTTGCATTCATCTATATCTGTATCACATCTTTGACCTTCCCAGCCAGAAGAGCATATGCACAGATATCCGCCTGGACGATTATCGCATTGATCGTTGTGAACACACATCGATGTATCGTTGCATTCGTTGATATCGATAGAGCACCTTGGACCGGACCACCCAGACTCGCAGTAGCATTTATATCCCATGGGACTGTATTTATCTGGTTTTGAAAGGCCGTGTTCACAAAGTTTTTGGACTGTTGAGCAATTTATCCCAGTCCAACCTATAAAAGTGATCTTTTAAATTGTACTGATTTTAAAAAAATGAGACCTTTGCAGGCAAAAAGCATCATATTACATACAACAATTTGTGTTATCCAAGTGTCTTAGTTGCAGATCTGTAGCTCGCTAGTCTAAACAAAATTGGATTGCCCGACCAGAGTCGTCCAACCCTTTTTGTTTGTCTTCAGCTCAGCGAGCTACAGATCGGCAACTATAAAATATGTGAGTTGTAACGTCTTGGTCAATCAGGTTGTGAGAAAAACCATCAAATTAAATTTCAGTCCTTAAAATATATAGTATTACTACCTGGATGACAAATCAGTGTGCCGTTTGCTTCACAATGTCCTGTTCCATTTGCTGGTGTCAAACAGAAAACGTCACATTTCTCTCCAAAATAATTTGGATTGCAGTGAAGCATACCAGTGACGTCACATACCCCATGACGTGGCGGATCGCAAAAAATCGTACAATTATCACCATGATATTTTTCTTTACAAACTTTTGTGCCGTTCTTGTCGCATTGGAAATATGACCCAACAGTAACCTTGCAGTGAATGTTGCAAGATGGTCCGTAGAAATCTGGAGCACACAGGGTATCACCTTTTGCATCACACTGTATGTGACCATCCGGTGAGGGACTACACTTGTACAGACGGTATGAAGTCTCTACCCTGTAGAGATTAGAAGATATAGTAAGAGATGCTATTACAACTTGTACAGGTCAATTAAACTAATTAAAGTTTATTAGCAAGCCTTTCATAAGCAGTTTTGAATTATGTGCATTTTGTTTCCAAAATATTCAGCAAATTGTTTTTTCCTAATAAATATTTGGGTAAACATGAAATTATAATTCTCCGATACATATTGTAAAAATCTTGAAATTACGATTTTTTGGGATATGAAAAAGAAACTATGAATACCTAGCCCCTGTAGGCTTGTAAGGGAGATTACTTATGTATTCCACTGCCGACCCCGAGTTGTCTGCTGGACTGGCGGTGATATGTTGTTCATTATAAAATATAGTTTCAAACGTTGAGCCGATGTCGTAGAACTTAATCTGAATGTTATAGTGATCCTTTGCCTGCAGCAGCATTTAGAAGAAAATAAAAGGCATGAAAGTAAGGAATGAATGTTTTCTTAAGGTTGAAAATAGTTTTTTTTTCCAAAAGATGGTGTACTTACCGACCAGTTTGGTATTTTGAGGATGACAGGGTTTGTCAAATTTCCAACTTGGTCTGTGAATGTCATGTTCTTCGTTTGATTTAAAGGACTACTTATTTGTTCTCCAACACATCTTTTGTTAGTGGTTTCACTGATATAAAGGAAATTCAAATCTTGAAAGTTATAGCAATTTTAAAGAAAAAATCTCTGTAAAACTCATGATCTGAAATTAAACCTCTTTTTAAGAAACCGATGAAAGCAACATAGAATCTAAATGCGAATAAATAATAGGGGGGTAGTGGACAAAAACAAATATGTATACAGGTTTCTTGATTGAGAAAACAAGAGAAGTTCCATAAAAATTTCTGACACTTCATCATTATCAGCAAAATATCTCCTTAAAACAAAGAACTCTTGTTTCCGGGAGATTTAAATAGCCTAAAATGGCCAACCCCAGCTCTCTTAAGGAGACCACCCTTATATATAATTCGGTATCCACCACTCTAAATTTTAAAAATACTCACTACAGACAGATGCGGACAAATGGTGTACACGGAGTGGTACAATTCGGTCCAGGCTGTCGATGACAGCAGATTACTGAATGAGAAATCCCTCTTCCAAGTTCAACGCGGTTATCGGGGTTCTCGTAAGATTTTATGGACACGGCAACATACACCTCGCTAAACACTAGCTGTAATACAAAATACATTGTACATGTACTACATGTATCTTTGAATACTTCTGACTTTTACGTGTTTAAGACTATAAGAGGTTGTCTTATGAAGTTACAAATTAAAATGGTATGCAAAAATTATAATAAAAAGTGAGTAAAACAAATTTTGTCTGCAGGCCCGAAAAGAGATAATTATTATATTATATTTATACATATTATAATTATATTATGCGGTAGTAGAAGTTAATATATTCCAAGAACAGGAGGTTTGAGGAAAATAAAAATATCAATGAATGTGCATGTTCGGGGAAAATCTATTTCAAAAAAATAAAATTAAAAAAATAATCCTTGGTTTGTTTGGATTGAATGACCAAATAAGTGCAGGTTCATTTACTCTAGCTTAGTCGTCAGCATTACATTATGATTATAATACGTGAATAATATGTACATGAATCTAGATAAAATTCCGCCATTTTTATCCGCCCCCCCCCCCCCTTTTTTTTTTTTAAATTTTCCTCTCCTGAAAAATTTATTTTCATTCTTTGGCTTTTGATTTCTTTTTAAAAAAGTACTAAGAATACGACTTACCTGCGGTGTAAAATACAACAACAGTAAGGGTACATATTTTATTGCGTCCATTTTCTTCTAGACCTAATATTCAATTGGTTATGTACTAATATTGGAAAACGGGGTATCTTATCTCTTCCAAATTTGAGAACGACTGGGTAACCCAAGTACATTAAAAAATTCAATCGATTTCTATATTTTATCTTGGTCATTTAAAAGGGTGCAAAGGTGCCTTTACAAGACACAATGCCACGTCGATAAGGTCCAACCTTACTTGTACATGCCACTATAGGGCAGAAATCACCAAGCTTCTTCTTGTCCTAGATATCAAAAGAAAATTCATGTGATTATCTGTTTTTCTTATGTACAGCTCCATAGTACTTCCTGAATATAGTACTGAATACAAATTATAAAATATTTATTTGCAATTTTCTTCTGATTTTTGTATATGGCACAGTCAGTCTCCAACTTTGAGCTTTTCAAGACAGAGAGAAGTTTATTTCACCGTAAAATATCAAAGAAATGCTGAAAACACCATTTCTTTTGTCATTAATGTTACTTCTATACACGCTATATGAAAGAAACAAACATATTTTTTTAGGCCTAAATACAAATTGAAATAAATTTATTTGCTTTTAAATGAAACAAAAAAAATCGAAATTGCATTTCAAAGAGCTCAATGTTCGAAAAATTAAATTCTTTTTAAAAGTTTAACGCCTTTTCGAGTTTTTGCCATGAAGATTTTTTGAAATTGATTTCTAATTTGATTAAGGACACTCTCTACACTGCACACTAAAGAGTTCTGATTCTATCGTATTTTTCTGTAAGTAGCGTAATCTTTCCTTAAATGTAAATTCCAAGATTCCAATAAAAAGAAATTTACAGTATACTCGTATTACTCAATTTGTATTAAATCAATTTAAGTATTCTTCATATTTTTAAAATGCTGAAATAAAAGTGAACCTGTAATTTACATGACAAGTATTTTCTTCTCAATGGATATAACCAACAGTGATTTCTGTTCACTGATACTGTGTTGTGTTTGAACATTTTCTTGGAGGTGAATGCCACGTACCATACATTTAAAAGTAATTGGATAAACTCAATATTCACCCCTTTGTTCAATATAATTTTGTTAATGTCCGACAAACATTTTGCAATGGTGTAGAAAGGTCCTTAAATTAGTAAGTACATCTACAGTACATTATGTCTTGCAAAAAATGTCAAAAAAGTCAATGCCACGAACATTTCTTACCGATGTATTTGTAGCACAGCCATTTAGAGAGATGAAATAAAAGAACAACTCCTGCAATCATCGTGTCTACTAAAATAATAGAGTGACGTCACACTGCTAAAGGAGGATTACTGCAAAAAATTAAAATGATTTTTTTTTCAAGTTGTTTTTAAGTTCAAATTATCAAAAAATTAAATCTGTTAATTAAAAATGGTTTGATTTGAATTGTGTGCTAGAAAAATCCAGCTTATTTATCAGTAGAACTATTGTTGAGTTGGTAGGTACAATTATGATGCTGTTTGTGAACTTTTGGGATGTTCGATAACGTTTACTTCAGTTTCAATGTACATGTATATAAATGATATTATGTACATGTATTTTAAGGTTTTGTACATGCTTAGAATAACCAAGTTTAAGACGCATTTGAAACTTTTACAGATTGCTAATTAAATTAATCATTTTGCATTTCTTACTTACAGTAAAAATCGAAAAATATTCTGCCTTAAAATACAGTATCTTTCAAATAACTATGATACTGTTTTACTGTAATTACTGCATACACTGTAGTACATGTACATGTAATATTTTACACATGTACATAAATAAGAGTTCCTCCGTGTTTTTGATTTCTTGATATTTACATTTCCAATGTCTTTGTCCGAGATAAAATTACAAATTGTAAATGTACTTTATTTCCCCATCAATGTATTGGCGCGGTTCCAAAAAAAAAAAAAAAAAAAAAAAAAACACGTGCAGGGCGGGACAAACAGCTAGACAGAAGCAGGGCTTGGAGCACGTGGATCGGTGGAATCAAAGCATGTAAATATAAGGAATAACTGTCAGATTTTTCAGTTTCATAAAGATGATCAATCGATTGGCTTGCGTGATAATATATAGCCAAAACGACCGACGGCGTTTATGCAAATTATCATGCAAGCCACTCGATTGATCACTTCATGAAATCGAAAAATAAGACAGTAATTCCATAAATATACATTATCATTCATTTTCAAGTGTGAGAATAACATTAAATCACATACAATATAGACTCTCTCTCTCTCTCTCTCTCTCTCATCGATCATTGTGATTATTTTTCATACCTTAATGGTCTCCTGGGACTCTGTGGAACGAATTTCGAGGGTCCACAGAGCTACCAAGATTTAAAGGGTCTGTTATGACCATACCTCAGAGTCGCGGACGTGTGTCGAAAAAAGAGATGCAGAAAAGGCCATAGACGCTTGGGTCAAACATGTCAAAGATAAATATATATTATTATACCTATTTACAAATATTCTACACAACGCGTTATCTGATGTGTTCTAGGTTATCACGTGATCGGGCCGTAAATTTCATATTTCGGCATGCTTTTCATCATATTCCACCTCTATCTTTGTAGACTGAGGTAAACATCGGTTAAAAAAAAAAGATCTTGAAGAACGCAATTTAGCTATTGAAAATTGGGGGGGGGTTCAATTAAAAATTTTTCATGGAATTTTCTTCTTTCAATTTTAGTGGAAAATTCAACCTGAAGCTTGTTCAAATTATAATCGTTAAATTATTTGAAATATATTTTTCAATCGACCTGTTGTGAATTTATAGCTGAAACCACCCTTTTTCTGAAACCGATTGCCAATATAACTTTGAATTATAAAAAATCATTTCGTAAAAACGACCTGTTTTCAATTTTTAGCTGGGATCACCCCCTTTCTCGCTCACTGCTTTTTAGCCCTGGTACGAAAACAATGCGATGTACTGAACATACAACTGTATGATATGTTTAGTTCGAAAAACCAAGCTGGGCAGACTGACAGATCGTAGGACAGTCAGTCAGACAGACGCGGAGGAAACACTTAGCCTCCTCTCCGTCTTCAGGGGTAAGGGACGAATGAATAAAAAAAAATTATTATCCTATCTCAATGCATTTCATTGAAATTTTGTAATTTACAAATTCTCTCTTAGGATATTCCTTTAATTCGTGTACGCACTAGTAACCGGTGATTTTAAAATCGAAGCTTTTTTTTATTCGTCAATGGACTTGTTACTGCAACGTAAACAAAACGATTTTAATCCTCTCTCCGACACGAAATGGATTTGCCGAGATTATACCATTCCATACATAAGTCCAGAAACACCCCGAATGGCAATGTAATATTCATTGACTGGTTGCGCAAACTTTTGATAAGGGATGAGGAGAGGATCAAATATACGATATATACACGTGCACGTGACAAACGTTTAAAGCGTGTACTTCATGTTTATGTTCTGGATCATAAATATACTAATTTGGAAGGCAGCTGGCAGAATGAAGATACATTGAAAGTTGTGAAAGTTCTTGTCAATCAGGTAATTTGAGAAAAACACGAATTGCAAAATTCTTTGTAAATGTCGGTTTTTAAATAGAACCAGTTATTGATTACAAATATTTTTTTTCTCAGTTTGATGATAATTATGGCTAGCAAAATATTCTAAAATAGTAAAATGGGAGATCAAAACAATTTATTATACATTTAGATACATATTTTTAAAATCATATGAATTTAATTTTTAAAAAAAATGTTTGACCCTGTATAAACCTGTCTTTTTTTTTTCGAGAGTCACGCGTCAATACACACGACCAATTATCCGAACAGATTAAGATTAACCTGAATTTCAGATTTGCAGAATTTCAGACCTTTGGTTGTTTGTGTATTTTCATGTACAGTTACTTCTGTATTTTTCTATACAGTTGGATATGAGCTATATATTCGAGAATTCAACAAGTACATTGGTCAAGGAAAAAAGTCATGGGTCATCAATTCAAATTAACATTACTTTTGTTCAGATTTATTTCTAAGTGTACAGTGAAGAAAGTCGGTCCTTTAAAAATGAACATGTATGAAAAATCTCAAAGCTGGCGTGGCCTTGTTTATGGTACATTAACTTTTTTGTAATTAAATCTTGAAAAGGTTTACCGTGTATTCCCAATTTACACATATATATATTTTTTTACACCAGAGTGACCAGAGTGACTTGCAGTCAATTTTTCATAAATGGGTTTTTCTTGTGCTTAATTACCTGAAAATTCTGTCATGTAGTAAATTTTGAATTTACCGGGTGGCAGTAAATACAAAATTTGTTATAAATTTTGTATTTACTGCCACCCGGTAAATTCAAAATTTACAACATGACAATTCCTTCCCTTCAAAAATAAAGTATTTTAAAAAATAAATAAGAACTGCAAAAAATAAACAATTACTACGTATACATGTATAGTCTATATCGAGATAGAAGGTTCGTCTACATGAATAAATGCTGAATAAATATTGGTATGTAAAAAATCCTATATTTTATATTTTGTTTATTGGTATGTACATATAATAAAGTCTTGAAAATTCCAATTTGAACAAGTTTTACAGCTGAGTGTTGAAAAATGAATTCCTGATAACTAAGAATAAGAGCCAGGTATCAGAAAAAAATTATCAGTAAGATATATGATTCATTTTAATGAAGTAAAACTTGATAAAAGGTTTTAAAAAAATAAATTGACATAACGTCGTGTTTACAGAACCGGCCACCTTTGTTTGGTTATCTTTGACTATACGTAGTAATTTATGTGATCATTTCTAGTCAGTAGAGCTTTTCATGGCCGTGTGGATTTTGGAAAAGTATAAGAGAAGGAAGCTTAAGAAGTCACTAAATTAAATCATATATTCATAGTGTCTATTCTGGTTAGAAGAGATTACATTTTCTGCGCATAGAAAGAGTTCTTGCAGCGTCTATAGAAAGAAAGTCAGATCCTTAGCTTTTAAGTATATGTCAGTATATATTGAAGTGAATCCAAGTCCTATCTTATCATCAAGTGTCTCGTGTTCAATATCCTCATGTAGTTCATCAACAAATACTCAAAACAACACATCATTCGACCCAAATATA